TTCATCCATCTCCCCACTCGAACTCGTTTGTTTTTTCTTTCTTTTTTTTTCTTTTTTTTTTTGCTTTTTTATCCCTGCCAAGTTTTCTCAATTATTCAAAAATATTTCACTCTCTTCGTCAAACCCATCACTCTATGAAGAGTAACTACTGCGTACGCTGTTTGCTCGGGGTCAACTTTCATTGCTCCTCGTGCCAGAAGGCGCGGCGATGAACTAAACTCCCGCTCCGCCCGCGGGCTCCGTCGTGCGCGCCGCGGGAAACTTTTCTCGTACCACTTCAGCGGGCGGGAATGACACAAGGCGTTTGAAGGCTTGGTCGTGCAACGTACACGTCAATCCTGCCAGCACCCTGGGAGGACATCCTCGCTTAGAGGCTAGCTCTATAAGTCCGTCCTCCGCAATGTGATAGCCTTCGCAGGCCAGCGGTTATCGGGGCTAGCATTTAATGGACATCCCAGTAGGAGAGCCATCATAAATTCAATTTATTTTCGTACGTTTCGCCGGTCGCTCTTGCTACTTGAAATACTCAGGCCTCCCTGTAGGTGCTTGATTGCAAGGCTCTGTCGGATCCACCACTACCTGCCTGTCCACTATCCAGTTCCCTTATCCAAATCATGATCGGTACTTTTTCTGCTTTGCCCCCGCCGGTCCGACCTACACCTGTCTGTAAGTACAGCATACAACCAAGACCACAAATGATCACATCTCAGCAGACTTTTCCGTTTCTCCTCCCGCTAGCGCTTCCGAATCCGCGCCTGCTTCGAGAACATTAGCAGGGGCACGTTCTCCGGCTGCGCTGGCCAGTCGTGAGAATCAAATGCGTCCCTGATCATGTCCCCAAGTCCAAGACCAGCACAAGTCCGTTCTGTGCGATAGAGAAAATTGCCAAACGACGTGAATTAATGTCTCATTATTGAGATACGGAGTAACATTTATTTAGTGAGCCGCTTACAGTAATCTCAGCTTTGAATATACTGTCCCTGCTTTCTTAATCCGTGGCGCTGTCGTTGATGGCGACGGACTCTAACAGAGCGAGATATTTACAGCCAGTTCAACTTTGATCAAGTGATAGACTAAAGAAAGTTGATTGCTGGCCTGTTCTATACTGAATATTGTACTAAAGGCATTCTCATGGACCATCAAGCGAAAACCCGATGATAATCACTTTTCCTGAACCAGACCCAACCACCACGGTAGATGTTGACACGGCTGAGCAATAACGGCGGAATTCTACTGGGAGCCATAGTAGGTTATCTCCGTTCCATGTAATCCAGCATGTATCTCTACTAATACCATAACCAAGAGAGCGGCCATTAGGCTCCGTACAACGAGTTACCATCACAAAACGATTTTCGCAACATATGGTGAGACCGCCAACGTCAGTTAATAGATGTGAGTCGTTTGGGCTGAAGGACAGGCGCGTTAATGCAAACCCAACATTGATGGCCTGGATGCATATGCCAGTACCGACACACCAGATCCGTACGGTCTCATCGAGAGAGGCCGACGCTACTCGTACTGAGTCGTGTGAAAATGCTATAGCCCGGACAGTGCGAGAATGACCTTGAAACGTGCGACTGCATTCTCCTGTGTCACTGTACCAGACCCGTACCGATTTATCGGAGGACGCCGTTGCTAGTAATGTCGAGTCGTGAGAGAAACATACAGACTCCACTGAGTCGCCATGGCCCTTAAGAATCTTAACGCATTCGCCTCTGTCACGGCGCCAAATACGCGCCGTTTTATCATAAGAGGCTGACGCCAGTAATGATGAGTCGTGTGAGAAAGTAACAGACCGAACATCGTCGCCATGACCTTTAAGTATATGGGTGCACTCGCCCGTATCGATACGCCAGATCCGCAGCGTCTTATCGCAAGAAGCTGACGCCACTAAAACCGAGTCATGCGAAAAGGCAACAGATAAGACCCAGTGCGAATGCCCCCGGAGAATCCGCATGCATTCTCCTGTGTCAACGCGCCAGATACGTACCGTCATATCGACAGAAGTTGAGGCTACAAGTGTTGAGTCATTCGAGAAGACCACAGATAGAACGCATTCGCTATGACCGTCAGAGTTCTCGATGCAGCCTCCTAGACCACCGTCCCAGAGCCGTACCGTAGTATCAGAGGATGCCGACGCGACTAGTGTCGAGTTCTGCGAAAAGGCCGCAGAAGAAACTAAGAAGCTATGGCCGAGAAACGCCTGTACGCATTCACCTGTATCTACACACCAAATGCGTACTGACTTATCGGAAGAGGCTGATACAACTTGTGCAGAGTCATGCGAGAAGACCACAGACCTGACCCAGCCGCTATGGCCGTGAAAGATTCGGATGCATTCGCCTGTATCACTTCGCCAGACCCGTGACGTTTTATCACCAGATGCTGATGCTAGTAATTTCGAGTCATGCGAATAGGCAACAGACGTAACTGGGTCGTTATGGCCTTCAAGAGTATTAACGCATTCGCCTGTATCACTGCGCCAGATCCGCACCGATTTATCAGAGGACGCCGTTGCCAGTAATGTTGAGTCGTGAGAGAAACATACAGACTCCACTGAGTCGCCATGGCCCTCAAGAGTCTTTACGCATTCGCCTGTATCACTTCGCCAGACCCGTGACGTTTTATCACCAGATGCTGATGCTAGTAATTTCGAGTCATGCGAAAAGGCAACAGACGTAACTGAGTCGCCATGGCCCTCAAGAGTCTTTACGCATTCGCCTGTATCACTGCGCCAGACCCGTACCGATTTATCGGAGGACGCTGTTGCCAGTAATGTCGAGTTGTGCGAGAAGACGACGGACAAAACCGAGGCGGTATGGCCTTCGAGCGTCCGGATACATTTGTTCCACTGGTCGTCTACCTTGGATTTAAGGTACATTGACTTAATATTCCGCCCATAAATATTTCTAACCTTGCTGCTCTTGGGTGCAAATAAGAGCAGGGAGGAATATAGTTGAAGAGGCGTCGAGTCGATTGCGTATACATATGTGCACAGAAATCGGGAAGCATCGTCAAGCAACTGCGATAACTCTGTACTCTTCTGAGGCTGAATTTCTGTAAGCAATTCAGTCCGAGTTTCTTGTTGATACATTCCCTTACCTTGAGTTGAGATTGCAATGTCTTGATGAGACCAAGGCTATCTATAACCTTGCCCAAAAGCGCTAGGGCTTCTATCCAATGTAGAAAATGGCGCGCTAAGAAATAATGGGCCTCCATGCCGTCAGAAAGCTCTGTTCCAGCCTGTTGCAAATGATAGATCCAATGGGAACAAGCATATTGTAGCTCTGGTGCCAAGTTATCATTGACCTTCTCTGTGCTAATGGCAGAGCGGGGTGTACCCGGAGCTCCGATATGGCAGAGGTCTTGCTTGAGACAACGTAATATACGCAGACATTCGGTCGCTAAGTCCTCATGAGTCTGCTTTTCGAAAACCCGAAAGGGCATTGTAGGTTCGTCAGGGTCCAAAAGAAAGTCTCGGAACGACAAATGAAGTAGCCTCACAGGTGCTTCCGCTGAATGAGGGATACTTAGAACAGAGTGTAGTAACGCCAGTCTACTATCAACGTCATCTCTAGGCACATCGAGGATTTTCGCCAGCGTAGATGTTGACAGAGGCCTTGCAAGAAGAACGATGGACCCAACAACTTTGCGAAATTCAAGCACGATCTCGTCTCGTACTCTGGGGGACACACCCTCCACTAGAGTATCCAAGACAGACCGATACGTTTGCTCTAGTTGTGACACTCCGCCTCTCGATTGAGAAAGTACCTTCTCCAGCTGTTTATTTGGTGTCGCAATCTTTCGTTCGCTTATAAACAGGCAAATAGTGGTGGCGACAATGAATAGTGGAAAAGCCATCCTCGCAAGGGCGTCAACGTTTGACTGGCCTGGCCAATCTGGGTCGAGGTGTTGCTCCGCAGGTACTGAGTCATGATAGTCGTCTCGGATCCTCGCCAATTCATGCTTAAGAAAAAGGGAGATGTCCCGCTCGACCATAATTTGGGGCATCTCATGTAAAATGACCTCCCGGTATGCGCTTGTACTCTTCCTAAACCCACATCGAATAGGCAATTCCGGTCTGCTTGTAAAGAAAGCTCGTACCCGCCAAGGCTCTTCAGTTTTAAAGCGGGAGAAAAGCCGAATAATCAGTTTAATGTCCTCGTCTCGTTCGCATTCATCTAGTGCGTCGACGATAATAGCGATAGGCGTATTCTCGTTGGCAGTTTTCAATAGCGGTTGTAATACTAGTTTATCAAATTGCTCACTAATATTCTTCGTTGTGATTGATCGATCGGCTTCGAGCGTTTTTTTTATATGCGGGGCAATTGATGGCTTTCTCACAACTAGGTCGGCCGCAATAGTCATGAAGAACTTGGACAGGCTGCTTCGGTCGGTCTCACCTTTCTTAAAAAAAAATGAGGCGCCAAGCTGACCGTTTTCGGAAAATGATCGTGCTATGGTACGAGAGATTGTCGACTTCCCTGTTCCAGCCATTCCATTCAGCCAGAATATAGGCTCTGCATTCTTGTCCTTCGCCCAGTCTGTGATCTGCTGGAGCAGTTCAATTCTTGTATCCGCCAGACAGATTCGGTTGTGTTCTTGAGCATAGGAATCGAAAGAGGCGCCTTCGGCAACGCGGAGTTGATTGAGAACCATAGTTTGATCCACAGTGAGCAAGATAGTTCTAAACCAAATGTTAGCTTTCGTTTGTAGTGGCAAGCCACACCGTACGTTATGTCGATTTGCAGCGCAAACGAAATAGTCTGCGTATGTTGCCTCAGATTTTGCATGATTCTTTCCAACTCTTTGCTTTGAAGTGGCCATCGAAGCGAGCGAAGCCCGAATCGGCTAAGCGCTTGACGTGCTGTCTTTGGGCGCAACTTTTCATGAAGTCGTCTGAGCTGCAATACGCTATCACCAATCGCGTCTTGTAGTTGCTGGGAAGTGCTGAACCTTGAGGCATTTGGGCCATTGAGTAGCTGGTGCAGACTTGCTGAAGCAAGTTTTAAGTCGCTCACATGACTGCGTAATTGGCTTATGTTGTTTGCTGCGTTCTTGACCTCCTTTGAATACTGAAGACATAACGATAGAACCTTTGCAGACAATTCCACAACAGCGATGACGCCACTGGCTACCCCGAGTGCCTCCATATCTGCTGGCAATGAGGATAGTTGGCCTCTGGCCCCATGCAGATGACGAGGGTTGTTCTGTCGACTCCTCACATGACGAAGTTTGGTTAGTAAGCATGTCTTTACCGCAGCATTTGCTTGTGCCAGCACCAAACCCCAACTTTCACTAAGTATGCACGTAGTCACCACAGCAACCTAACCCAGTACCTCTCCATAGTTTTGGGGGGAAAACAAAACCTGTCAATAGAATGCATTCAGGCTCGAGTGCCAAAGCTCTTACGCATGCTCTCATACAAGACTCTAGTGTGTGTCCTGCGTATTGTCGGAATTTGTTGCTGACACATCGCACAAGCCACTCCACAGCGATCCCACGCCCGGCGTTACGCTCTACAAAGCTTTATTTTCTTCAATAAAGCCTCCCTGAAAAAGTGTATTATGTACCAGCAATATGCTTGTTTGTATCTTACGTCTTGAGCTTGGAGGGACATCGCGCCAATGGGCCGAATGCCCCGGCAGCTGCGGTTGTTTGGAAAACTTTCTTGGCGTCCTTCCGGAGCCTTTATCAGTGGCTGGGAGGTTGTACTAGCCGCCGTATACAATAAAATTGTCCCGAAAAAGAATTACCACTAATATTGAAAGGCGAGTCTACCTGTAACCGAGTAATAATTTGCGAATTGCATCGTCTTTTGCTACCGCCATCGTGGCCTGTGTCTACACAGGCATTACATACCACACTGGTTTGCAGGATTCCGTGTCCCACGCGGTTTTCATTCAATTCCGTGTGCCACAGCACCAAAGCCGCGCGATGCACCTGCCAACGCCGCATGCCCGCGTCAGACACCATGCTGATAGCTAAAAGGACAGATTAACGGAGAACGATGGCCTTTAGCTACTAGTATAGGAATGTCGCCGCTTATAGATATATCCGCTATTGCTATTGTTACTAGGAAAATAATAGTAGAGATTAATTGTAGTTATATACACTATTGCCTAGATGTAACGACGGCTTAATCCTAATCCGCAGTAAGTCTGTTTCTTAGGAAGTGAGTCAGGTTGAATGCTACCAGAGTAGCAATGAGCAGTATCTTTAGCGTAGGCGATCGTTAAGAGTAGGACTCTCAAAACTAATTGCTTAGTATTGCTTAGATTGATCAGTAGAGATCTAGACTACCTAGCTATGGGAATACCTCCTCCTTAAGTACTCGTCTATCTCTCTACTGTAGGCCCTAGATCACTGGCTCACGCCGAGTCCGTGATCCTTCCCCGGCTCACTGGATCACGGTGCGCCCGTGATCCCCGTGCAGTCACGTGACCTCCTGTCCTAACTGGGCGAAGTGCAGGCTCCCGCCTGGCCTTCGGTTCAGGCCGCCTCCAGGCTGCCTCATGCTGCTTCGTTCGTAACACTAGACTATAGCTCTTTTAACTATGACCGTTTAGAGACAGATAGTAATTTATAATACTCTGCCTATAAAATTATAGATTAGAATTCGTAGGCGTTTATAATTTATTAATAAATAAAAATAATAAGAAAACTAAAAAAAAGGTAGCTACATAGGCTTAAGTGGTATCGCTAAAGTAGTCTTCTATTCTAGATGAGTAAGGATGTCTGCCTACAGGCGCTATGCTATAAAGGACAGCCTCGTAGCAGGGCCCACGGGTGGATGTCCACGACAGGCGCTATCCTCAATAGGACAGCGCAGCCAGTGGCCATGGCCACGCTAACCAAAATTTTGTGCTGGCACCCATACAGGCCAGCACCTTTGGGCTATGCTATTCCGTGTGCTGGTACGCTAGACCCAGCACCCACTGTAGCCCAGCCCAAAGGTGCCAGACCACCCCAGATCCCATCCGTCGTTAGTGATGGCATGCACGCCCTAGCACACACTGACTAGCGCCATACGCTCCTAGCACGAATCAAACAGCACTGTATTTATCCTAGCCCTACTTGTTCCTAGCACATAAATGACCTGGCACCCAAAACTCCTACCACCCAATGGACATCACCCACGTCGGGCTTTTTAATGAATTCGACTGCGTTTTCGCGGTCGCCAC